CACTACCACTATGACGACGACGACTAGCCACTCCTGCTCCTGCCCTTGCTCCTGTTGCTCCTGCTCCTGCTCTTGCCTCTGCTCCTGCCTCCTGCTTCTGCTCCTGCTATTACTGCCGCTACTGCAACGTATCAGCAAGACGAAAGATCCTCCATGCTCCGTATCCGGGCCGCCGAGGCTTTCAGCCGCTCTGACACCTCTTCCGATGAGGGCTGCTTCCGCAAGTTGAAGAAAAAGAGCTCTTGCTGCCCGCCTTTGTCGAGGTGCCGGGCTCCAGGTGCAGGGTCCACCGGGGCATGCGAGGGGGGCGAGAACTTTTGTTCAGCTCTGTTCACTAACTGTACCCAGCAACTACCCTTGCAATAATGGGTTCCGCCGAGCTGAAGACTCGTCAGTCTGAGCCTAGACACCCAGCGCAGCTCGGTAGACGAGAGCAGCCACGGTCATTGAGAGGAGCGCAGCCATAGCAACGCCAAGGCAACCCATGAGAACTGAGGCCAGGATGCTGGCAAAGTCCTTCCAGGATTTCTGGGTTCAGGTCCCGCTGTGTCGGTGTCTTTGTCGCAGGAGCCCAGCCCATCAAGCCGCACCCTGAAATTCAACTCCCCATAAGTGTCTAAATGGCTAGACCAGCATGCAGCGGTGGGTTCTCTATTCTGCCTACGAGAATTTGATTGAGGTGTGTAGTCTTGTGTGTAGGCGCCTATAGCATCAACAGGTTACAACCAAGACCATCGGCAAACAAAACAGTACAAGTAACTGTCCAGGCCGCCGAGAAACAGTTCTTGTAATCCCCAGGTCTGAGCCCTCCCCGCGTGTTCTTAAGTTGGGTGAACCAAACTTCGACGGATTACAAGCCCCTGACTACGGCAACGATATCTGTGACGCATGCGCTCCAGCTTCTGGACCCTAACCCCACCTCAACCAACGCCTGCAGATTCGAGGAGCCCTGTGCGGTCCTTCATTTCGCCCTCAATGGGTCCGAGATGAAGCGAGGTGGAGCCCACAAGCAGCGTCATGATCAGGCAGAGCAATGCGTCCATGACGTTTAGGAGCGGAACCTTCCAGGGCCAAGCACGGCACTCCAGTGCCAGGAAGACTATGAAGACGCTCGACATGGCCGTAACCTCAGCCGTCCATCAGTACCCCTTACTCTGAAAGCTGCAACTTGCCCTTGCGCTACTCACTGGATCGATTTGATCTCTGAGAAGCTTGAATGGGCGGGTAGTCAGTGGCCAGCGCGATGGGAAGTGACAGCAGCGGGCCGCGGATGAGCAACGGCACCCCGAACCACCAACTGTCCAGTCGGAAGCGGAAGAGCAGGAATCGGAAGGCCCTGACCTTGGTGTGCTGCCCCTGGGCGCTCCACCTCAGCCAAGGTCCCTTGGTGATCTTGTCCGAATGAGGCGCTGGTGTCCGGGGGGACACGTGGGGTCCAAGGCAAAGATCAAGTTACGGAGGCTTACTGCAACTGTTGGGATAAGAAGCCCTTCTAGACTCTCCACTTGTGATTCGAACGGGTTGACAAAGGATGGGCGAAATGTTCCACTGGGCTTTGCAGCCCAACAAGCCGCTTCTCCCATACAAATGCTGGACTCTGGGCTCAGGAGTCTGACACGGAGGGAATCCTGAAGTCTGGAGGGACCAGTAGCCCCATACATCCCACATTTCATCAGACTCCGACCCACCTTGGTGAAAGGAGAACCGCATAGGTGCACAGGGCCAGAAAGCCCAACACCCCAACAATCAAGAGCAGGAGGCCCATCGCCTGAAGGGCAGACTTGGTCATTCCGCCTCATGCATTCACCATGGCCTAGACTACTATGACTCGGAGCAGGAGTGGTAGTAGCCGTCGTCGTGGTCGTAGGCGTCGTCGGCTTTGTCGTCGTTGTCACCGTCGTCGTTGTAGTCGTGGTCGTGGTCGTGGTCGTGGTCGTCACAGTAGCAGCAGCAGTAGAAGTAGCAGCATCAGTTGCAGCAGCAGCAGCAGCAGCAGCAGCAGTAGCAGTAGCAGCAGCAGTAGCAGTAGCAGTAGCAGTATAGCGGTCGTAGTCGCAGTCGCAGTCGCAGTCGTCGTTGTACTAGTACTAGCTGTAGTCGTCGTATAGTAGTAGCAGCAGTAGCAGCAGGGTGCAGCAGCAGCAGCAGCAGCTGCAGGAGGAGTAGCGGTAGTCGTCTTCGTCGTTGCCATAGCAGCAGCAGCAGCAGCAGCAGCAGCTGTCGTCGTCGTAGCTGTACCGTAGCCGCAGTCGTCGCGGTCCGATTCGTAGCCATGGTCGTAGTCGCGGTCGTAGTCGTGTTGTTGGTAACTACTCCCACTACAACGAGCAGTAGTATCAGGAGGAGAAGTTAGCAGTAGTAGGAGTGGGGGTCGTAGGATGCCCCTCGTCGGAATCAGTTTCAACTCAAAAAACGATTTCACAATCTGCCAGTGCAAGCCCTCTTGGTATGGGCCGAAAGACAGGCCCGGAACAAGACAAGGGGAAGACTGGAACGAGGAGCACTTGCAGGAACGGTGGAAGGCAGGAGAGGCTATCAAACTCGACTCGAGCTGCAGCGGCCTCGACGTTCAAAACTACATTGCGGCCTTTTCTTGGAAAGCACTCTTCCAGATCATTCCATTACGACTTCAACGCTGCAGCTGCTTGCCAAACCAAGTCGCCAGCATGATGGCGTGGTCAGCGGTGCCACATGTAATGCTAGGATACTTGAGGAGGCTGTGGACGCCGTTCGGGTGACTGAAGCACATTAGGGGCGCCATGGATATCGAGCTCATGGTGCCTTCAGTTCTTGTAAATGGACAACTTGCCCCTAATCTGAGCACGGCTTCTTCTATTATGGCTTAGAGGTTGTCGTGCGGAATATTGAGAATCGCCCCGAGGCTCTCTTAAACCAGACTCAACAACTCTGCTCAATTATCACCCAGGGAGCTGAAGCCCACCTGAAGCAAGGCTCCGATCACGCTGCAGGTCTTGCTTCTCTCCCACCGAAGCTCGGCGGACAGCCCGCGAGACGCAAACGAACACACCACGAGCCACAGAACCATGGCGGGGAAGAAAAGAACCTGAAGGCTGCGACAGGGGACTAGGAACAAGGATTGCCATCCAGAAGACCAAGGTAGACGGGTCGATGGTTTAGGCCCTAAGGTTTAGAGTTTAGGCTTAAGGCTTTGCTGCAGCGCGCTCTAAGGAAGAGCTCAGAGCTCTCTTGCATCCGTGGCCTCCACGCATCCCGCAGACAGCGCTGATTCCGGGACCAGTCTGTGGCTTGTGGGCGTGCTGAAACACTATTTTGATGGAAGCCTGCTAGACACCAGACATCACTAGACGAGAAGCTGAAGAGGTGTATCGGGCGGGTGCAGAGTTTCCAGCGATGCAACTGAATGCCAAGCTGTCGATGTCCAGGACGAAGACTTGCAAGAGGTCGAAGATGGGCCTGATCTTAGAGGCCTTACAAGGACTGTAGGATCGGGATGCAGGGTTTGCAGATGCAGAGCTCCAACTGACATGGGCAAACAGCGTTGTGATACGAGTGCTCCACCTGATGCTTAACCTTCTGTAAGAGGAACTTACGGGCACTTCGCTGAGATCCCGCATCCCTAGAGCCTGAAACTCCAGATGTTGCATAAAGCTCTGCACAAGCCCTTTCTCCCAAACCTCCAAACCGGAAACCGGCAACCACGAACAAGCAAGAACACATCAACACCACGTCACTACGTGTCTGCATTTTGCAACACAACACTGCCTCACCTCTCCGGAAAGGCCGTCTGAACCGGTGAGGGACGCGCAGCCACCCTAAATCCCGAAAGGTTTACAAGACGATCCGTGCAGGGAGCTCTTTCAATCCTGAAGTCCTAAATCCGTTGAGTCTCGGGTCCCTGAGCCAGTCCCCCAACCCCGATATTTCTGAATCCTTGAAGCTCCCCTGAACGGCTGACCTCAGCTCGGCCGGGAAGTTCACCGTCATCATCCCCACGATCCCAACGCTCCTAGGCTTTTGGAGGAGGAGTCACCGAAGCGGCGAGTAAGGGCCCTTCTTCGGGTCTGCTGCTTTGCTCGCGTTTTTGGGGCTCTGAATCTTCCAAAGGTTGGGGGGCGGGTCGGGGTCTTGAGCTCGGGCTTAGGTATGTTTAGGTCGAGGGTTGAATCCACGGGACAAGCCAACCCAATGAAATTTCCCAGAGTCTCAAGGGCTAGCAACTAGCACTTGGACCCCAGGGATCCCGAGCCACGACTCTTGGTAGGCTGATGGTTGCGGGCTTAAGGGTCTCATCGGAAGTAATACGAACACTCAAACTCACAGCTTCTCTTCTCCTGCCCAGCAGAACAAGATACAGAAAATCAGAAATTTTGTGTGCTGGAGGCCTTCCACAGACCCTCCTAATCCTTTGATGTACTTTAAGCTTCCGCCTTCTTCTCCATCCCAAAAAATAGTAAAACCTAAACACGAATGCAGAACGTTTAAAACCGCAGTCCTAAAGCCTAAACTGCCCAAGTCCCTAGATGCGAAACCCCAAGCCCGGAATCCTGAAAAAAGCCTAGCCCCCAAACCCTCATTGAAGAATCCTGCTTTTCCAAGGCTCTGTAAGGAGGAGATAGTCAGTCCGAAAGCGCAAGCTGTCGTGAAGAGCACCGAGGCCTAGCGAGGTTTTAGGGGTTAGCATAGGACTCAAACAAGGGCTTTTTTGTTGGGAGGGGGCGGGGGTTAAAATGCGGGTAGATAAACATATTTGGGACCCTATTACTTATGATCCCGACCCCTACAGCAGGATTCACCTCGACTCTGTTTCGACGTTTTGGGGTTCCCTTATTCCCTTGTTGCCTCATCCAACGTGCAAAATGCGATCATATGCGATCATCCAGAGCAGTTGGCTCCGTAAAACAGATAATTGGGGCCTTCGGTTCAATTTCAGAGTTTCAAGTCGCACAGTCGCACGCAGGCAGGCACGGACTCATGAGGTCTTGATACAGTTTCGCGCAGGGCTTCAGTTTTCAAGCTTGTTGCGACACTTTAATTAATTGTCAGGCTTAGGTCATACATCTCCTTTCTTCTTGAACTTGCCAATTTGACGTGCTTCTAACAAGGGTTTAGTTTAGGGCTCTGTCGGAGGGTCTGACCGTACATGACAATAGGCATTCCCCACTGCAAAGCAGGGTCTCCTGAACCCGAAACCGTTCGCAAAGCCCCACTGCTACCAAGCCCCGAGCCCTCAGTCAAGTCGATGAGTGCGTTTTCCTCTCTGCTTTGGCCCCTCACTTATCATGGCAAGGAAGACCTCGCCACCAAGACAAGTAATCCTCAACAATAGATCTGGCAGATATATACCGAGAGACCATCCACAAGACAAACAAGAGCCCCAAAGTTGGAAGCGCTACAAGCCACGACCTTCGCTGTGCTTTGCAAAGTGAGCATGTAGTAGGCCACAACCAACCCCAGAAAAATCCTTAGTCAAGGTGCAGCATGCTCTTGTTCCCAATGTTGTATCGACATGAGGTGGTTGCTGTTGCAGCTCTTGAAACACTTCCACTTTTTTGGCACTCGGATTTGTGCTGTGCAAAGGGTTTCAATACTCGCCCCTCACGCTTGGGTTCATCTCGACTCTTCAGCCGATGCCTTTTCAAGCTTTGGGCCGAGGGGTTTCGGAACCAGGGCTTAGCACGTAGGCTTGTGCAAATAGTAAAGTAAAGCCTTCAACCTTCAACCTGCCTGAAAGATCCTGCAGGCCCTTCTGCGCCATGCTGCCACCGATTTGGCTCATGGACTGAACCCTGAACTGATAACCCGATGACAATCCGAAGGAACAGCAACCCTGAATTGGGCCCAAGGCACAACACCAAGCCTAGAACCCAGCCAGCTTGCTGCCAGACGGTGCAGTTCTGGCAGCTACCGACGCTGAAGACCTGGCCCTCGGGGCCTCAGACTTGGCTCGGAGACGGGGGGGCTCTTGGCATTTTTTTTGCCTCCCACCTAGCTTGGCAATTGAAATTTGAGGTTTCGGTGGTCAGGTCCGGGTTGATGCTCCGGGATTTTCCGCTCTTCAACGGGCGGGTTCGAAGTTCTCCTGAACTGCATCCTTCAACAGGTCCACTTGCGCGTGCTAGCAGGAAAACAAGCATCCAAAACACGGACACACCTCAGCACCCACACAATCACCCCTTTGCAACCTGGACAACTTTTTTCTGTCTGGACCCACACCAGGACCACTTAACTGCGAGTACGGGTCGTGTTTCTGTGCCAGTCATGAATATACCCATGGCCCATAAAATACTGCATAAAGATGGATTGCCAAAAAGTTAGATCGATACTTTATTTACAGCTAAGTATCTAGTTACAGATAGATGGGTAGGTAGAGAGATAGCGATAGATAGGTAGGTAGATAGAAATTCAGAGAGCAATGAAGCCAAGGGGCAGTCGGTGCAGGCCCGGTATTGGAGTCCGCCTGCACAGCTTCCCGGCCTGCCGCCCGGACATCGTCCGGCCCCCAAGCACCGGAACAGCATCAACGGATGCTCCGGCGAGCTATAGAAATCCTGGAAGGCTGGCAGAACCCTAAACATGTAGGGCCGTAGGGACCCGATCAAGAGACTCTTGGTTCTTCATGGGGCCTGAATACGAATCCTGATAAATGGGGGGTGGGGTTGCTCCTACGTTGACCCAAGGTCTTAGCCGTTTTCGAAACGTGAGCTTTCGAGCAGCCCCATGCACGAGGAGTCCTGCTGGGTACACCTAGAAAATGTTCTTTTCACCACCCGGGGTTTCCGTTGCCATGATGTTTGCTCCGCTCCTGCTTTTAATCGTGATGCTCCGATTCGATCTGCTTCGTATTCTTATCATGGCGGACTTGCTGCTGCTGCTGCTCGTGATGATATGTGAAGATGACGAGCGTGAAGATGACTGCAGTGTTTTGGAAGATTGTGGTGACTAGAGGGGGTTCCGACGATGTTGAGGACCACTGGACGATTTCAACACGGCTTAACCGAGGTGATCCTGAGGAAGAAGCAGATGATGACGATGATGATGATGATGATGGAGGCTGGCAGGGGTGCAGCTTCTTTTTTGGCCCCCGGAAGTTTTTTTCCCACCCCTTGGCTTGCATTCCACCACCCAGAGCTTTCTTTCCCTCCGGGACAGCTTCTAATCCACCCCGAACAGTTCCTAATCCACCCCTTGACAGCTTCTGTTCCATCCTCGGAACAGTTGTAGCCCCGACAAGCTTCTTTCTGGCCATCCGAGGCCCAATTTAAATTTGCCACAGCTGCTGTTATGCTGACACCGCAGGAAAGGAACTCTTGAGGAGCAGCAATGCTGCGAGGTTCCACCGCTGGTTCGCTTTGGTGATGCAGGGTGGCTGCTTCCTGACCCAAGTGCGACCTCGCACATTTGCAGCAAGCACTGCTGCACCTTGCAAAAATCGGAAAGTAAAGAACTCCATGGCCAGCTTCATCGAGTCACGCTGGCTTTGTGCATGTATAACGGCATCGACTCGGCCAGCTGCTGCACACGGCCAGACCTGGCGCAGGATGCTCGTCCAAAAAGCAATAGTCGTAAGCCAGTAACCAGGCTTGTTGATGCAAGATGCAAAGGTCTCGTCCATATCAAGCGTTTTGGTTAAATCAGAACACAGCAGCCGAAGCTCGTAGATGGCCTGCAATCCTTCGGCATCAGCGCTCCAGCTACGCAGAGGGCTGTCGGTGGGCAGCGGAGAGTGTGGCCCCAAGGTTCGCAGCACGATTCGGAAGAGGCGCTTCAGGATAGGCAAGGCAATCTGCTGGCCGAACTGTGCTGTTGCTGGGGGCCCCAGGCTCACCGGCAGCAGAAAAGGAAAAAACAAAGCGCCCAGCCAGGCCGATGCTGCACTTCTCTTCTGAGGCTGCCCACCATGTGAGCAGCAACGACCATTGCTGGAGAATGACGACAGACACGTTTGTCTCACCATCGGCGACATTGCCCTCGTGCTCTGCCGTGGTTGCACACTGCGTCGACGTGCCTGTCGCTCCCATGGAACTGGACCGCCTGAATACATGTGTCTATCTTTGAAACAGGATTTGACGAGCAAATAACTATAAGCAAGACACAACTAACCTGCCAGGCGACGACCTAGGTGCACCCGCCTTTCTTATTCTTTTGCAACCGTACCTGTGGCTGCGTCCAAATTGCTTCGCCAGTTGATGTGTGTTCCTTGTGTCCATGTCACGGAGGACGCCCATGCTGGGCACAGAACCGGGCCTCGTTCCCATGCTCCAAGAAATTGGCAACCTCCTGCGCGTAAGTCTATCCACTGCGGCAGCATGAGTGCCCACCGGTTGCACATGGAAGCCGTCACCGGGCACACCGGGCGCCGGGATCTTCCCACAAAACCTCCAGCAGCGCCTCCTTCATGGGGTCCAGAGCTGTGCTTTTCCCGCGGCCCGGCGACGCCGTGCCAACGGCCCAGTATCTTGCTCGCACATCGAACCCAGCAGCATTGTAACTCACATGCTTGTTCAACAAGCTGGCCAACAGCGCGAAGAAGGAATCAATGTAGAAGAGGGTCGGCAATCCTGCCCTTCGGACTGCGATAGGGCAAAAAGTCGTCCTCCAGATCGGGGTCCCAAGATAAACAGCGTCGGCCGCCGCGATCTTGCCTTGCACATACTCTTGCATGCATCTGTCCAGTCGACCCCGTAGGTCGCTCCAGGAAGGATCAAGAACCTCGCAAGAATACAAAGGCAAGGACGCCAGCGTCTGCACACAATCTTCCCCGCACTTGTATGTTTCCAGCACCGCCGCGACAGAAGCTTCAAACTGAAGATGGCCGTCGGCGCCTTGAGGCAGCAGGCCCGCCGGCATTTCGGCAGATGCACCCACTTTACCTAGAACGGCCCTGCTTGTCGGATGTAGAGGCGCTTCGCGAGCTTGCCTGCTGCTGAGCGTGCTTCTGCATGCTTCAACTGGCCGTGCGACTCGGCCGTATGGTTCAAACGCGTGGGTCATCTTGCCAGCAGAGGGCGCTGCTAACTCCCCTGCTTCGCACGCCAGCGGCTGAAAGTTTTGACTAGAACGCCAAGACAACGTTCGAAGGAACTGTTTTCGGCAGCTTCGGGTGAACCGTGACGACTGCATCGTCGCAGCGTTTCCAGCCAGTCCCTTCTTTTGCCCACGTAATGAAATGGCCTGACCCCGCTTCACCAGTGTTCCCATTGACATGTTCCACGAGTGCCACGAGACCGAATAGTTCGCCTGCAAGTTGCTGCTCTGCCTTGCAGTCGATGGGCCGGTGATGACGTAGTTGCACACCATCTTCGGTTCCTACAGCAGCTCTAGTAGATCCGCAAAGTAAAGAAGTGCCTCTGACAAACCCCCAATTGAGACCTGCAGATTTCCTGTCCTCTGGCCTTTGCACGACTCACAGCGCAGAGACAACTGCTGTGGCTCGAGATACCGCACCAGCAGATCTGAGAGCTTCGAGGCTTTAACCGGATAACTTTCCACCAAGAGCACTGACCAGTTTTCCACGTCGACACGACATGAGGGCTTTCTGCTTTCGGAGCAATGAGCATTCGGGCACGAATGCTGGGCTTCACGTCGCAGGTTTAAGCGCGAGGGTGCAGCACGGCCGCTCCTGCACACGCTTGCCGAATGTGCACGCGAACAGACCG